TTACTCCCTTCTGATTCTGAGGACAATTTTTTGCAAAATGTCCAGGATTTCCACAGATAAAACATTTGTTTCCTTTTGTGCCTCTGAACCTTCTAGACTTTCGTCTAAAATATCTTCATTTCTTTCTGAAAGATTTTCTTGAAAAATTCTTATAGGTCTTGGTAAAGCTTTTGAACTTTTTGAATCTTCTGGATCCTTTTCTTCTCTGGGATGGAGTACAGGCTTGGCACTTTCCCTTGGTTATTAGCTCTGGCTTTTTGCAGGCTTGGTCCAAACAAACATCTCCTTTTAGATATTCTCGAATAACTTTCCTCTTATGACAAAGGTCATCAAGAGATAGGAAAACTGCTTGTTTGATTTGGCCAATGGTGAGATTTAAAACTGATCCATACTTATTATGGATATACATTTCTGCACCATCTGCAAGTGGCTTGGGAAGGGAATTGATAAACGGCTGTTTGAGATTAATATCTGCACCAAGAGAGTAGAATAATTTAATCATTTTTTAAAAATGTTTATTTAGATCTCGTCGATCATAAGATAAACATTTTATTTGAAAGAATTCTTTTCTTTTTGCTTCCTGGAATTCTCGGACATTTCCAAGAAATGTGAGATGGAGAATATGAATATTTTCCAGGAAATCTTGTTTGGTTAAAAAGAGCATTTTATCTGCATCTCCAATGGTTGTCCACCAATCCTTGAGGATTCCAGCCAGATGAGCTGTAAAAATTGATAAAATTTCAAAGTGAGATTCTTCTGTTAAATTTTGGGCAAGCATCCAAGCATGGAATTCATGGAACCTTGCTTCCCACTTTTCAGGTGGAATATTGTCAATTGTAAACAGAGGTACTCCCTTTGATTTTGGAAAAGTAGCTCGCTGGGTTCGATCAAATGATGTTTCTCCTTCCTCCTCATTGTCATCAGGCTCAACCACTTCTGGTTCTGGATCTGCCATATGAATCTGAGGGGTACTTTCTTCGTCGGATGAGGAATCTAAAGTATCAGTTGTTGATATCGTATCATCATCTGAAGAATTTGAAAGACTGCTTTCTTCGGAGCCTGTATCTTTAGAGGAATTATCATGAAATTCAGTATAGGTTGAAATATATGAAACTGAATCTTCATGAAGTTCATCTAGCACTGTTGACAAGGGATTATCATATACCCTAGTAGCTTCATTTGCTTTCCTTTCCTGTTCAACAGAAAAAGTTGGATTAGTATAGGTACTAAACATTAATGAAGCCGGAGGTTCTTGTTGAGAAGATGACGGCTGTTCAATGGCAGATTGTTTGGCTTTTCTTTCCCTTTCAGCTTCAGCCTTTCTCTGTTCTTTTTCAGCCATTTTCTTTGCTATTTTAGCATCCTTTTGAATTTGTTTATTTTTACGATATTCTCGTAAAGTTGCTGCAATATCAAAAGCTTTGGTAACCTGTGGCTGTGGTGTTGAAAAATAAAGAGATGGTGATGGAGTTGTAACTTCTCCAAAATAAAAAGGTGTCGGCCAATTTTGAAGAGGTACTGCACCATACATGGGACCGACTTTAAAAAGAGGTGTGGAAGGTCCTACCTCATATGTAGGAACTTGACCTGTGATTTTCAAGACATGTAGCTGATTTTGGATAAACTTTGTTTCTTTTTCTTTGTTGAGGATAAAATCAGCTAGAGTGGATGGATCAGAAGGCAAGATATACTTAAGTTCTAGAAGTCTTTTTTCAAAAACTTCAATCATGTGAGAAACCTGAGATTGTTGAGTTGATACAGTGGTATCAATTTGTTCAATCTTATCTTTGGCCTCTGAGATGTTCTTATGAATAGATATAAGGGCAGTGTTTTGAACAAGAGAGTTCTCAGTCTGCCAATTTAGAACATCTTCTGTGGGATTTGGTCGAACAGTTTCTCCACTTGGTAAAACTGTTGAAGAAGTATTTTGAATTTTTGGAGTATGTCTAGTACCATTTTTATGGAAAGTTTCCAGCTTTGGAAAATCTGCTTCACTAAACATAAAGCATTCTTGAATCCAAAGTGTTGGAACTGGATGTAATGGTTCAGGTTTACAAAATGGTTTAAGAGTCCATTCCTTTTTGGATTCTTGGGCTTCTTTGTCTAGAATATCAAGACACTTTTGATAATAAGGATGAAGATCCTTTTTTGAATATGAATCAGGTATCTGAGATATTTTTAGAATCCAATCAGTAGGAATTTGATAACCATTAAACTGACTTCTTTGAGATACAAAGGTATCAGCGTCTGGATCTTGTGGATCCAGGTCTGGTTTGCAGGGTCGGGGTTCAACTGGTTTTGATTTTGATTTTTTCTTGCAAGATAAATCTGGTAAGTCAAAACCAAGAATATTTTCAAGTTGACAGGAGTCACAAATGTTGCAAACATCAAAATAGATATGACCTGAGATAGGATCCTGAAACCATGATACTGGGAGTCCTTCGTTATCAAAATATTTGATAATATCTTGACTTCGATGTACCTGCTGAAGATTCTGAGGATGATCATCATGTATTTCCCATTGTTCTTCAAATTCTGAGGGATAATACATAGGTACCTGTGCACACATAATAGAAGGATGAGATTTTGAAATCAAATCTTTAAAATGAGAATGATCAAATGAAATTGATGTTCTCCCTTCTTTGGTATGAGATATCCTTGAATTTGAGGATTCAAGGGGTTCATTTGCTTGAGCATGCAAATCTTCATAGTCTGTAATCCAGTCATTTGGTAGTAACTGGATTAAATCTTGCTTTGAAATTTGCCGAGGAACATGCGTACAAAAGGCACCATTCTTCTCATCAACTCTTATTAAAAGAGCATTTTCTCCTTCTGGAATGGCCAGATCAAGGGCATGATTCTGAACACGATAGACCATCTGGTAATGGAGGGTTGCTGCGATGGCATCGGCCACTTGTTCTGCACCAATGATTTGTACCTGTACTTTAAGAGCTTCGAGCAGATGTGGATCTGCTAGGGACATGTTAAAATTTGGGAAAAGGGTGACAAAAACAGTTCCAGCATTTAATGTAGTTTCAGTTGTTGCAATACAAGCATGCTGGTATTGTTTGAATCTAGTATCCAATAGTGCTAATCGAGCAACTATTGGGAGTCCTTTCCTTCCATGAAATGATAGGGAAATCCTGATAGCTCCAAAGTGTATATGGGTATAACCTTGCTGTTTCCATTGCATAGGGAAATCATTCGGAATATGCAAAGTTATAAACTGTTTCTTTCTAGTAGCAGGAATTGGATGTTGATCAACCTTTGATGCTTGAATGTATTCTTTAACTCCTTTTGGATGTGATCTTATTAAGGATTTAATAATACGCGTAGGAGAAAAAGATTGTTTACCATAAGCACTATAAGGATTGATAGTAGGAATAGAGGTAGGATTAACCACCTCTGGTTCAATAGAAACTTCATATAAATAATCTAATTTATTACTATGTACTGTCTTTATTTCTAATCCACTATTAGTAGTAATAGAAGAAGATTTAGCAAAAGAAGAAGAAGAAGAAGCCATATCTTAAACACGACTAATACTTAGATCTTGATTAATAACAACTTTCTTTTTGGATTTTTCTTTATCTTTTTGCACACGTTCTTCTGAAGAAATTATACTAATACGATGATATAACAAATCTAATTTTACTTGCCTACTTACAATACTATAAGACCATTGATTAAGATACTCGGAGTACTGAACTATCTCAGCTTGGTACCGCTCAATTCTTTCATAACACTGGGCTTTAGTGAGCTCAATATATTTATCGTATATATGAGGACCTCCAATTATTTGACGAATATGTTCATACCAGGCATCAAGACTATCATAATGGCGTAATATCCAGAAATTGAGAATATCATGCTGTTGAACAATATTAGCAAAGTCAGGAAAATCATTCATATGATTTAGAGAATAAAGAGTTTTGGGTTAAAATTCACCAGGGTTGGCTTTGATACCAAATACCAGAATTATTTTTGTACTGTTTCTAATTTTGCTAAGTGTTGGGCTTGCACTTTTTGGTTGATAATTTCTATGATTGATAAAGGGAAAGGTTCTAATAAAGAATAAGGTCTGAAAAACATCCTAGGCCGAAGAAACTCAAAGGGTCTATTTGAAATGGACTGTTCTTTTATAAAAATCTCTTTTGCTAGGCCGGATGAAGAACTGGTCATTTGTGATACTGTACGAGACAGTCTTCCTTATAGCTCCCCTATTTCAGAAATTGGTGAAATTATTGTATCACTTTGTGATCCAGATATTTTAAACATTTTTTTGAGCTGCCCTGTCAAAGAATGAGTTTTTTCTTTTAAATTTTTATTTTCTTCTTCTAGATTTCTAGATTTAAGATTTAGGGTCCGTTTGGTTGGACTGAAAATATTTTCCTACCCTAGGAAAATATTTTCCATCGAAGTCATTTTCCTGGAAAATCACTTCCTTCCCCATAATTTTCCAGTGTTTGGTTATTAAGTGAAAATATTTTCCAAATTCCTTTTTTCATAATTTTTCGGTGTTTGGTTTGTCACTGAAAATATTTTCTGATATATTTGTTGATATGTTGCAAATATTTTTTTTACTCTCAAAACATTTATTTCATTACAAGTTAATTTTAGTTTCTATCCATTATAATCAAATTATCATTTCTATAAAATATCTATTCATATTATACCATGAATTCTTAAATGAAATTATTAATGGAATCTTGGATTTATTCATAATTTGTTAATTCTTGCTGCCGACCAATGGAGCTTTCGATTAGCAAAGTCCAAGGCCAATTACCAATAAACCACCTTAATATGTACAGCAGCTCAGTACAGAGACAGAGACTGCTGGTGCTAGGCCAAAAATTTAGCATCATGCAGCCTTGTGCAAATGTCAATCTACAAAGAGGAGTTCTAGCAGAATAGCACTTTCGCCCTCATCCATATTGCCAAAGAGAAATGAAAACCTGTGCCAGAGCCTGTTAAGATGCAACCCCCTCCCAAAACAGCAATGCATGCGACTATTGCAGATCTTAGATTGGACCTCATAATGCCACACCATATCTGTTAAAGGCCATAAGCAAAAATTGTCCTCCTTCCTAAAGAAAACAAAATTCAGTTACATGCACTTCAGATTGCATACTAAACCCATGTACCATGGAATAAGCATGCTTGCTACAGAATATACAAAACTTCGCTAAAGACAACCAAAACTCCTCTCATGCCATCGAAGTAGAATTTGCAACTTCAAAGTACTTTATTCGACGCCCCAATCTTTCTTGAACCTCTCGAGAGAAATCAAACGAAGTCTTTGACTCTTCGCCATAAATGCTTTTCCTAGCTTCTCATTTTGCACCAAATGCTCGAATACCAAGTCCAGAAATTCTTCGCTATAGCCTTCTATATTCATAATCTCTTCATGTAGTTGGTTGACATCAAGCTTGTTTGCACTAATTTTGTTCAAAGCAGCTGCCACTTCTCCAAGTTGTTGAGACATCTTTTCAATGTCTTCATTGCTGCGATTTCTTTTACGATGTTGTTTGGTTCCCGATGATGTTGCTCTCACTTCTGAGGATCTTGCACTAGTCACATCCTTTTGTTCTACACTTGTCTCTTCACTTGTCTCCACACTTGTCTTAGGAACAAATGGAGTTTCCAAATTCACATCAACAAATGATTTTGCAAAAGACCCGGTGGCCAGATCTTTCCCAACCACAACAGCCATTTCATCATACAACTCGATTTTATTCTGGATATACTTGTCATGACCTGGATTTTTCTGCGTAATCATAAACCAGAAATTTCAATCAACAATATAACAAATCCAATTTTGCACTAACAAATCCAGGTTTAGTGCAAAAATTCAAAAGAACAAGAAGTCCTCATTTGACATTCTTAACTCCATTAAATTACCTGGATATAGGCATGATACACACTAGGACTGGCCGTTATCATCTTCAAAGTATCATCCCAGCCAAATCCACTTTTTTCACGAATTTTTACTATGGTGGACCAAGATGATCGCACTGTTCTTAGATGATTTTCCACATGGTCTACCGAGCACGTAACCCCAAACTTATCTTTCATGGCATCTACCACACGTGTAAATGAACTTGATTTAAAGCTATTGTTAGGCCTATTCCCAAGTTTCACCTCATCGGCAAGAATCTCAAGCATCAAACGCTCCATAGGTCTTGACCACCTAAACTGTTTCTCTCCCTTCTTGCCCATCTTCAAAAAATTAATCAATTTCAATAGTCATCACCAATAAAACAAACTTATAACAATTATAGCCAACTATTTGTAGAAACATTAACAATTGCAACAAGAATGAAAATCATGACCCTGGAGAGCATAAGTTAATTCTCAATGGACAATCAAGAGATGCAAGGTTAATCATATAGGCAGAAGTTTTTGCAGATCAAGAGATTTTTCTACTTCATGTTCAAGAGTAGTTAAACAATTGTACCACCATTTGACAGTGACAACATTGCTGGCCAAAATGCATGTTCTAATCTTTGCAGACCTAAATGACCCTTACTACTCAAAAACTTAGAAAAACATATATGCCAAAAATCACCAACCTCAAACTGAATTGAAACTGTTATGTCTGCTGCGGTTTGATGATCCTGTGTTTCTAAGAGCTTCTTGTCAACACTGTAAGAGTTTCTAAGAGCTTCAAGTCATTCATCCAAAGCGAAAAATGAAAATAATCACAATCAGGGTTGTAAAAATTCTGCAATCTTTCAATGATCAGGCAGATTTATTCATATATATGCAGGCAGAACGCCGAGACCTCTACATAGATAAATCACTCATATAGAGCCAAAGACAACCTTACATGGCATCCAACGAACCAGCATTATCATAAAACAAAACAAAACTAAAAAAGAAACTACAACCACCATCTAGATTATCTACTTTGTCTTCTTTGCATGTAATCTACATACATAGCATGTGCAATTGCGTCTCTTTTCCTTGCCCATTCTCTATTTTCTGCTCGTCTCTCACTTTGTGTTTGATAAGGCTGTGTGTAAGATGCTTGTTCAGTCAGAACATTTGGAGTTTCAGATTGTTCCTCTTGAATGACCTCTTCCATGAACATGTCATTTGGAGCTATACCCATAATGTGATTATGTATGATACAACATGCTAGAATCACATCTACTTGGGTTTTAAAATCCCAAAAAGGATCATTATCCACCACCTTAAATCGTTTCTTTAAAACACCAAAGCCTCGTTCAATGGTTGTTCGCAATGAGGAGTGACGAAGATTGAAAAGCTCTTTTCATTTTGAGGGGGATTGTCATCATACTCCTTTAGGTGATATCGAACTCCAGAATAAGGAGGAATGAAACCGTTGCGAATGCCATATCCAGCATCTACAAGATAGTACTTGTCTAAAATTGAAAAAAAAAAGTTACTTTTGCCTAATCTAACAATGTTTTGCATAATTATACGACTCACATAAATTAAGACAAGTACCTTGCAGTACTTGTAGACCCCTTGGTCTTGTAAGAGCATCTTCAAGAACACGAGAATCGTGTGCCGATCCTTCCCAACCAGCAAGCACGTATGAAAACTTGAGGTCGAAAGAAATAGCAGCTAACACATTTTGAGTTGGGTAACCCTTTCGACCTCGAAATTTTCCTTGAATTTCAAGGGGTACACTTGCAACAACATGTGTCCCATCTATAGCCCCTACACAATCCTATTTTGTGATATCAATTAGATATAAAATAATTTCTACTATTTGAGTTAATTAATTTTTATACAAAGAACTAGACTTACAGCAAACCAGGGGTAGTATCTTCGACTATTACGGATCTCTCGTGGAGTCGCACCATTTGGCAATTGTATTAAATCTGGATATAGTTTCAATATGGCATCAATTACAATGGAAAAATAGCGGTGTATGGTTTCAGTTGACCTATACAAGTACCCCCCAACCACTTGAAACCTCAAATTATAGCCAACTATTTGCAGAAACATTAACAATTGCTCTCTCACTGACATATGAATGGTAGGTTGTAATAATCCTCTAATGGTGAGAGTATTTAGTAATTGGAAAAATGTAGTTTGGTCCATTCTAATTTGGTCTATACAATACGAACTACTTCCATATAATATGTTATCCATGTAATCCTCTCTAGCTCGCTCCCTATTAACATGAGGTGGTTTAGGTATAACAACTGGAGTTTTATAGACTTCAAGAGCTGCATATCCTGCTGCTAGGACTGAAGTGGCAGCACCAATTACAATAGCATCCTCATCATCATCACTACCGGGATCCATCTATGAAAATTCACGTAGTAGTAGACTATTAGTAGTGTACCAGAAAAAGCTAGAGTAATGCAGGGGTCTCAATTGCAGAGTGATGCAGGGGTCTCAAATGCTCCTCAAAAGAAACTGATTGATCGTTCATGGGATATCTTGGGATTGACCTTTTAATTTAGAAACATATCACAAGCCACGGGCCATGTTTTTTGATGCCACTTCGTGGTTTTTAGGCTCAAGCATAATTCATGATGTTTTTTTAAACATGAGGCTTTGGGGTGCTATGAGAAAAGATGGACTAACTGCAAATTTATTTATGTAAAGTGCTAGATAAAGAATTATATGTCTGGAATAAGCGCATAGTTCTGGTATTGAGAACATGCAAAATTCTTTCTGCAAATGAACAGTGTAATTTTTGTGGGACATGAAAGAAATGATTATTATATATTTGCCATTTGCAAGATCAGATATATTTCGTTTTTCTTTTTAGAGATGATGCAGCAAAGAAACACTTCTGGGAGAATTCTTTCAGACTCATGTGAACTGATGATCTTATATTTCACTAAGCCAATACATGTTACAGCATGAATCGCAAGAATATATTGGTGGATGGACTATTACAATTTACAACCACGCATGCTCTCTTTGGCTGTTCAATTTACACCTAAACAATTTCCCACAAAGCTTTTGTTCATGGAAACACATACTTTGAACAATTTGCTTCTTCAGGTCTAGCCACCTTAAGAAAAAAAAAATTGAGAATACAAGAATGTGTTATACTCTTGACTTGTTAAATTCATATTTTATTTACCTTAAACTATACATTTCTACCATTTCTTGTTCTTTTTCTGTAAGCGCAATAAAAGTCACTGAATTCACGTGCAACATAATGAGTTTATATGTCAACACCCCTCCCCTGCAAAATAAATCGATTTTGTTTAGGCTATAGTACAAGAGCAAGGTCTGGCTGAAATTCAACCACGTTTTTTAACTAAGGAAACAAAGTATAGCGTTGTCTTATATTATACCTCCACAGGAAAAGTGAGGAAACATGTTATAACTAGTTCCCCAACTTCTAGATCTACTTCTCTTTGAATTTGAAAGTATCTTAGCGAGAGTGGAGATGAAGAATGTCACAAGATCTTCATCCAACATCCGAATAATGTCAAGGATTAACTACAAAATACCCTTTTGAACTTTTTTTTTAGTTGCAAAATGTGCCCTCAAAAGAAACTGATTGATCGTTCATGGGATATCTTGGGATTGACCTTTTAATTTAGAAACATATCACTGCAGGTGTTTTTTGATGCCCTGCTTGTGTTTCATTTCGTTTGAGGAAAGATTTCAGTATATTAAGACAGAAGTATTTCCACGGTTATATTCCCTTTTCAATCAAGCAGCTACGGCAAGAATCAGCCCGTGGCTTCACAAACTCAATGAATTCACTAAAACTTTTACAAATGGTCTAAAACCCCCAAAACTCAGCAGCCAAATTAATTCATTAGCATCAATCAAATCAGATTTAACCCTAATCAGGTAAGAACAAACTAAAACAAAAGCTATTGTAGGAACGGGAATCTAAAAATTCATTCAAATGGAACTTCAAGAATCTACACCAGTAATTGTAGACAATTTTTCAAAGGAAAAGGGAGGAAAAAACAAGTAACAAGAGATCATACCTCTGGAAATACTTGAGGAATCTTCACCCTTGTTGGAAATGCTATTGTAGGAACGGGAATCAGATTGTGCTTATGCCGTCAAACAAGCTTCTGAGGCTGCATAAGCAAACGCATCCACAATGGCGGGCACAGCTCACCAACAAACAGCTGACTGAAGAGAGAGAGAGAGATGGTTACCAGCCGCAATGGCAAAGTCTAGTTCCGATGACTAGAGAAATGGACCACACAAACTCACACTCACACAAACGCATCCACACATGACCGTTGATATTGGCAGCTTTTAAAAATGAGAGAGAGAGAGAGAGAGAGAGAGAGAGAGAGAGAGAGAGAGGGAGATGATCTGTTACCTCCGAAATTGGGTCTTTGTCGGAGTTGGAGATGCCGCCTGCGAAGAAGGAGGGATTTGTTTGCTGATGAGATGTCGCCGGAGGCTTTTGGTTGGACTTAAAGCTTTTATTTGCTGGAGATGAGGAGATGTCGCTGCGAAAAAGAAGACTGCTTTTCAGGAAGGAAAATAACTTCACAAAGACAGATGAGGAAGTTGTTTTCCTCCCCTGGGTGTAATTGATTTTCTATCGGAAATTATTTTCCCAAAATAATTGACAACCAAACAAAAGAAAATATGGAAAATGTTTTCCGGAAAACCTTTTCCTTCCAAACAAACAGACCCTTAAGCTTCTAATTGCTTCTTCCATAACCTTACAATGTCTACAAAATTGAATGTGATGAGTATTATCATATGCTACTGAATCAGAATAACTTCTACCACTATTGCTGCTACTAGGAGCTTCTGTACAAGATTGCATTGGCACCCTCATGCTATCCATACTTCCTTTGCTATCTACATGAAAGCTGATGCCAATATTTTTTCTAGCAAAATCCAAGGCTTCATGGATGCTATGAAAAGCTTTCCACAAAGGATTTTGAAAATCTTTAATCTGTTCTACTACTGAAATCCATTTGGAATAAATTTCAGGAGTTTTACCCCGAACTACCGCATAATATGAAAAATATTGTTTAGATTACAGAAATAAAATGCTAAAATATTTAAATTTTTAATTCTATCAGAATTATTTCTACTGTTCCAGAGGTTATCTAAGATATCCTGCTGGATTTCTTCTAAATTACCTTCCTCGCAGCTGAAAAAATGTAAATTGGATCCTTTAGGACACATGTTAAGTTCCCATTGGCCAATTTGTACCTTGGGTAACTGCTTTGCCATCTGCTAAAAGATCAAAAGAATTGTTAAATATACGGGATAGAAAATCTGCTAAATTATTATCTTTACCCTTAATATGCTCGAACTTAACTTTATATCCATTACCTATAATGCTATCTACAAAATTTAACCATCTTCTAGTAGAACTTTTTTTTTCATTATGTTTAGCAAAAAAACTTTTTTATTGCCTTGCAGTCTTTTCTAATAGTAATTTCTGGTTTGTTAAGTATAAAAAGTCTGATATTGTCTACACTATATTTTACTGCTAACAATTCATTGTCTATGCTATTTCTATTATCTTTTTCCTTATATTTGCAACTGGCATATCTACAAATTTGTTCACTATTTTTGCTACTATATTTATTTGGTTTTGCAAAAAGAACTGCTCCACATCCTATACTACTGCCATCACATTCGATTATTAAATAGTCTTTATTTAAAGGTAATTTTAAATCTGTTAGTTTACTTACTATTTGCAATCTTAGATAAAAGACATAAAATAGTAGAAGATGCATTAATAGCTAGTATAGAAGTAGATATGAACCAAAATCGAGGAATATTTTATTGTAGTCCAAACTTTATGATAACCTTAGAAGATATTAAAAATTTATAAATAAGAATACAAACCAAAGGATACGAAAATTTTCAAAGAGATAACTTAACAATAAGCATAGAATTTATAAGAAGATTAACAAATAGCAGTAAAACTAGATACAAGGTAGATATCAAACCAATAGTAGAGGCTATGGCTAGTAAAGGAATAAAATTAATAAAACCAATAGAAGTAAGTTTAGAAAATTTGGCAGGAAAAGAATGGGAAATTAGTAAATTTATAGAAGAAAATAATCCAATCATGCCAAAAGATAGTATAATATATAAAAATAGTAAAGGAAAAACAAGTCTTAGGTTCTATAATTATGAATCAATATCTTTAGAAACAGAAAATGAAGAAGTAGAAAGATCAGATACAGAGTCAGATCTAGTAGAAGTAAATTTGATAAAAGAGGAACTGGTAGAACTAGAATATAAAATTATTTATCCATCAGAATTAAATATGATTTTAACAGAAATAGAATTATTTGATTTACAAAGAAAATTAGAATCAAACGAACAAATAGCTCTAAATGAAATTTTATATTATGATTATCTAGGAAATATTAGAGTTAAAAAAGAAAAAGAAAATAATATTGAAACAGTTAGTATAACATCATATAGAGAATTAATGGAACAAAGCAGTGGAAGCAACCAACAAACAAATATGCAAACTGACACTAGCCAAGAAGGGAATGTTAGAACATATGAACCAGGACAACCACCTAGAATAATATATAATAAATATAGAAAACTAGAAGAAAAATATAACCCTAGAGGAAAAAGAAGACCATTAGAATTAGAAATAAAAGAAAATTCAGTAGATGAAGGAAAAACTTTAATGTTGACATCTTATGACCCCCAAATGATAGAAGATGTAATAGGTAGCTGGAAAGCAAGAGTACTTAGAAATTATATACAAAAAGGATTTGATCATAATGTAACAGAAATGTATACGTATTTAGAAACATTTCTAGGAGGAGTAGCAAGAGCAGTTTGGGAAGCATTTAAACAAAAATTCCCAAATAGATTACAACAAGACCAGGCGCATGGAGTAAATCCCATGAATTTTATTAATAGAGTAGAAGAAATTCTTTTAGCAACAAGTTCAAATAGAGTAGGAGTTATGACACAAATAGAATCAATAAGAAAAATAGAACAATTATCTATTAGAAATTGAAAATATATTAAACCATTTTTACAAGATTTCTTATATCATAACTGTTTAGCAGAATATTTTTATGATGAAGGAATTATAAAAAAATTATATGCAAAATTACTAGACGATCTAGAAAAGAAAATACATACTTTATATAAAGCAACACCTATGGAATCAACATTAAAAAATGTAAGTACAGGAGTAAGATTCACAATTAATAGGTTAGTAGAGGAATGTACGTTTATTAAAATACAAAAACAATTAAAAGGAGAATATAATTTTTGCTCAGAAATATATACACCACAAAAATATGGAGAAAGAGAAAAAGAAAAAAGAAAATATAGAAAACCTTATAAAAATTATAAAAAGTACCCCAAAAAACAGTATTATCTTAGAAAAAGCAAAGCTAGAAAACCATTTCTTAAAAAAGAACATCATGTTAGAAGATATAGACCAGAACGTACCTATGGGAATAGATTATCTTGTTTTATTTGTAAACAACCTAATCATTTAGCCACTAATCGTCCAAATAAACATAATTCTTTTAACAGAGCAGCTCATTTAGTAGAATTATTTTCAGAAGGCATAATAGAAATAGATCACAATATATTAGAAACAGAAAGCATTTATAGTATAGTATCAGAGAACGTAGATTTAACAGATTTTATAGAACAAGAAGATACAAGATTTATAAATGAAATCTTAAAAAAATCAGAAAATAGAACTATTATGGATAACATATACTTAGAAGAAATAAAAGAAGATTTTAAAAAATTAGACGACTTAGATCTAGTAGAAGTCGAATGTACTCATAAATGGGAACATAGAAAAGGTAATTATAGTAAAACTTGTTATAATTGTAATAGATACTCAACAATAGAATTAAGATTCCAATGTCAATTACGTTATACAGAATGATGTAAATTTTGCCTAGATAAATTAGCACAAATATACGTTTTAATAGAACCAATTAAAAAGGATAAAACTGAAAATACTGTGCTCTTAGAACATTACCTAGAAAGAAGAACAAGAATTTTAGAAAATAAAGTAGAACAATTAGAACAAAAAATAGAAAAATTTGATAAAGGAAATTCAATAGAAAAGGAAGTATATATAGAAAATGCTGATATAGAAATTTTTCTAGAATTAATAAAATATAATTATGATTCTGAATTATTACAAGCAGGAATGCCAACAGTAACTTCCATTGAAATAAAAACTAGAATAATAATAGGAAATTTTGATACAGAAGTTTTAGCGATAGTAGATACAGGAGCAAGTAATATAGTAATTCAGCAAGAACTAATATTAGAAAAATATTATAAAAAAGTATATAATATTAGAACTGCAAGACAAATGGATGGTAGCACTTATACCTATGACACTGCAATTCATAATAGTCTCTTATTTTTTGAAATAGATAATAATCACTGCACACCACCTTATCCAGTAGAAGAAATATATGATAGAAATTTTTCTTATCAAATGATTTTAGGACTAACATTTATACTACAATCATATCATGACATGATTATTACAAGGACAAGGTTAACATTCTTAAAAGACCATACTTTACCTTATAACACGTTCATTACACCAGGAATACGAAAAGATAATAAAAATATAGAAAATTATAATTGTAAATGTAAAAGAGCAAAAGATTGCAAATGTAACCACATAGAAATTATAGAAGAAATAGAAGAATTTAATAATATAGAAACTATAGAAAATATAGGAGAAAATTTTAATGAAATAGAAATAAGTTTAGACTTTTTACAAAATGAGAAAATCTATAATATATTAGAAACAGGACACACAGATATAGACCAATTAATAAGTAAGTTAGAAAAATTAAAATTTTTTGGAAAAAACCCAACCATTCATTGGGAAAAAGATAAAACAGAATATAAGCTAGAAATTTTAAATCCAAATTTAAAAATTAGTACAGCAAAAATAGAAGCCAGTAATGAAGACATAAAAGAATTTGAAATGCATATAAGAGATTTAAATAAATTAAAAATAATCAAAAGAAGTACCAGTCCACATAGAAGTGCAGCATTCATAGTTAGAAAACATAGTAAAATAGTCAGAGGAAAAAGTAGAATGGTAATAAATTATAAAAGATTAAATGATAATACCAAAGATGATAGTTATGACATACCAGATAAAAATGAACTAATAAATAGAATTCAGTATAGATCTATTTTTAGCAAATTTGATTGTAAATCAAGATTTTGACAAGTAAGAATGCACAAAGATAGTATAGAATGAACAGCTTTTACATGCCCTTTAGGACATTTTGAATGGTTAGTAATGCCTTTCGGACTAAAAAATGCACCGGCAATATTTCAAAGAAAAATGGATAATATTTTTAACAAATATAAAGAATTTATCATAGTATACATAGATGATATATTAGTATTTTCAAAAAATAAAGAAGAACATGTTGGACACCTAAAGTTAGTTTTCGCAGAATTTATTAGACATGGAATAATAATTAGTAATAAAAAGGCACAGTTTTTTAGGAAAAATATAGAATTTTTAGGAATAGAAATAGGACAAGGAAAAATAAAATTACAACCACATATTTGTAAAAAGGTATTAGAATTTTCAGATAAAATAGAAGAAACAAAGAAATTACAACAATTTTTAGGATTATTAAACTATACCAGACCTTTTATAAAAAATTTAAATAATTTAGAAGCACCATTACATAACAAAACATCTTTAAAAGGACAAAAAATTTTTAATAAAGAAGATATAAAATCAGTCCAAGCAATAAAACAAATAGTAAGTAAACTAACAGATTTAAAATTACCTTTAGATACAGACTATTTAATAATTGAATGTGATGGCAGTAGTATAGGATGGGGAACAGTTCTTTTTGCAAAACCAAATAAATATAGTAGCAAAAATAGTGAACAAATTTTTAGATATGCCAGTGACAAATATAAGGAAAAAGGTAATAGAAGTAGCATAGACAATGAATTGTTAGCAGTAAAATATAGTTTAGACAACTTCAGACTTTTTATACTTAACAAACCAGAAATTACTATTAGAACAGACTGCGAGGCAATAAAAAAGTTTTTTGATAAACATAATGAAAAAAGAAGTTCTACTAGAAGATGGTTAAATTTTGTAGATAGCGTTATAGGTAATGAATATAAAGTTAAGTTCCAACATATTAAGGGTAAAGATAATAACTTAGCAGATTTTCTATCCCGTCTATTTAACAATTCTTTTGATCTTTTAG